ATTACCCATTGAAAGCCTTCAAGAAAAATTCTGGAAGCAGGAGGTTCAATTAGAAAGATTATATGGCAATTCAAGTAAGAGATAATGGATTGACCTGGAATAATAGCAGTGGATATAGAGGAAAGTGGACATAAAGAGAAATTTAGGACATGGAATAAAGATCCTCAAGCATCCTCCAATATTATAATTCACCAAGAATCAATATGATAGTATCTTTAAAGTGAAAACACCTTTACAATAAGGGAAGAGCAGTGCTAATTCTAATCAATAAATGGGCAATCTCTCTTTTAGAAAATTCCAAACTATGCCAGTGGCGTTCTCCATTCATTCTGTGATCCCCTCTCTCCAATAATCCCCATTCTCACAGCTCTCTTGCAAGTTATCTCTTCTAGTAAATTTTATTCATTATTAAATCGCCAATACCATTCATAGTGTTCAGCACTTACAATTATGCAACACCTTTTAATTAATGAAGGAAGGAATAAAGTTTTTTAAAAGGGCAAATATTCACCAACCCTCACATTTCCTTACTTCTTAGCAATGGTTCAATAGTTCTTATGGTCCAAATCATTCTCTCTTCTATCCAAGTTCACTTCTTCTAAATACAGTTATTTGAGATTATTGTTCACCATGAGTCAACTAATGCAATGGTTCAAAAAGCCGATTGAACCATATGTTACCTCTTCCAAATTTGTGTCTTAAACAGAGGTATGAAATGTTTTTATATTCACAAATGCATTACTAATGGTGGAGACTTCAGGCGGCAGGGCAGGCTGAAAAGACAGAGCTGCTTAAATCTCATCACATAGGTATATCTTCTGTCTGTGCAGAAGACAGACTCTGGTGTGGTCAAAGAATCTTCAGACTAGAGATTTTCTGACAGGTGTTTTGTTACATGCATTTTCAGAGAGTGATAAAAAGCATAGTGAATGATGTGGGGGTAAGCTCCATCATCAGTGATGGAACACAAAGTTTGGGGACCAATGCCTTTTGAAGAATTTTTTTCTAATTACTGGTGGAATGACACTGACATAAATAACACGAAAGCATAAAAAGCCTCTTGCACAACTGAATGTCAGAGAACAGTTTGCCAAACATCTCTTTGCTTATGCAAGTAGGTATAGATTTACTCTTTCATTATAATTTTACATATAAAGTTTCAAAATATATAATAAATTGGTTAGGTGGCTATATTCCTTATTATTTTCAAGAAAGAACTGATTGCACTTGTATTTGGGGTTTTCTACATATAGCAGAGAACAAAAAATCCCCAAATGGCTTCTGAATATTGGCATTTTGATTGTGTATCATGAGAAATTTGGTGATTATATAAATATACAATTTTTAAATCATCAATGATATTTCTATATTTGGAATTGAAATAGATAAATAAAAGACATTTGGTATCAAAAGTACCCTTATTTCAAGAGCCTACAGTCAATATTGGACAATCTAAAACATTATTAAAGGTAAACATTTTATCAGTGTCATCTCTACCTTTTCTAATGACAATGAAATAATGAAGTTTAAGAATATTTTCTCACTAATTTTAAGCTGTCATTTGGTCGATATTTTAATGTGGAGAACTGGTGTGTTGAGAATCCAAAAATTTTTATAACTGACTCAGGAGAAATAGAAGTCTTTTCGGGATCCTTATTCTTTACTTATATGTAAAAACAGAATTGAGTATTTCTATCTACTTAAAGAAAGCCCATGAAAAAGATAGAAGTTTATAATATTTGAAAACATAATATTTTTCTAGGTAATTCACAATTTAGATGCTCTGTGAACTAACTTGTTTGTTGTTCTACCTGGCAAATTGCAGAACCAGATGTCTGAATACAAACAACATGTGATAAAAGATCATTATAAAGTAGTACCAGAAAAGTCATTCACTGCTGATCACATCTGCAACTTCTTCTAAGAAAATCTGCACCTCACAAAAGCTACCAGATTGGGGCAGCCCCCATCACAGAAATTTGAACTATAATTAGCCAAGTGAAAGAAAGGTAACCCACCCATTGGTTGGCCTATGGTCTTAGACTTAGGACTTCTGGCCTGGTCCTAAGGATCTACCCTTAGAACTAAAAAGGACCCAGCTATATTCTTTCTTATGTATTTGACTGGGAAGATTTTGAGAGAAGATGCCATTATCTGTAGGAACAGATGTTGAAAAGTAATGATGTAACAAGAAACACCACTGGAGCTCATGCTAACTACAAGATAAGTTAATGAAGGCACAGAAATCTGATAAAGCAGTGGATGCCACTCAGTGTTTGGGACAAACATATTCTGTTATTTAGTCAACAGCCATTTTTCCCTTCTTATCCTCAGATAAAACTTTTGATGTTGTTTTTATAGTAAGTGACTAGTCAGGAAGGTTGAATTATGACTGGTATAAGCCCAGTGGTTTGCTAGAATCTGTTTATACCAGGTCACAAGAGCTGCTTTTATGTACTTCTTCCCAATTCAGAGTTCAATGACATCACATTGGTAGCTTGATAATTGTCAACGTGGGAGTATTTATGCCACAGAAATCAGCAAATGCTAAAAATTAGGATACCACTCTCTCTGGTCCCCAGTCATGTGGGTTAACCATGTATCAGCACTCTAAGGCCATCATGGGAATCACATTTGCTTTTGCTAGTGATTGGTCCAGGAGAAGGTACAGGACGAATCAATAACAAGTATGAGAAAGTCTTATGGAAGGCATCTGGGAACGATTTCCTTCTTGACAGGTTCAAGCCAACAATCCGCTTTTCTTCCTGTTTTAGGTAAATTGTCTAATGCTCTGAGGTATAACGCTTTGACATTCAACCATGAGGGAAGCTCAATAGAATCCAGAGATGCCTACATAGGTCATTAATAACATTAAACCACTACCAAATAGAGCATCCAAAAAACAGCAAAGTAGAAACAGTCCACCCCAGTATAGAAAATAATGGTGTGCATCTCTATAGAGAATTTAAAAACAATAATGAAACAACTACATATTAATCCATTTCTTATTACTACCCTGTACAAACAATTCTAAATAATGTTAGTGATAAGATACTCCCCCCACATACCTGGATTATTCCTATCCAAGTTTTCTGTTATCCTAGGGCTAGTAAGTCTAGAATCAACTACTTAAAACATCTAGTTACATAAAAGGAAGGTTTTTTTTCTTTAAGCAACTTGCATATGCGTTTTCTGTTACATGCAGGCAAAATACTCTGAAACACTGAAGGTGTTTATGGAAAGTAGCACACTATGAAGGTTGCTAGGTCAGGTGAATCTAGCACTGAAAAGCAAAACCATGGGTTCCTGTTCTAAGGACCCAAGACCCCGGCCTCTCTACTTATGCAAGACCTGGCCAATTACAGTTCCTGTTCTTGTGTGCTCAGGAGGGTCTCCCTGTTGTGCCATCAGTATACCAATAAAAGTGCCTTTACACCAAGTAGCATCAGCAGGTTCCTTTCATTGTAACCAAAAGAACTACCTGAAAAAAAGAACCTAGCACTGAACAGCTCAATTGCAAAAGACTGCCCTAATATAAGACATTGAATGGATTCACATTGCAAATAGACAAAAATATGCTTAACATAGCATGTTCATAATAATAAATTACAATTTATCTAAATGCTAACAAAAGGAGAAAAACTGAATGATTTTTGATGTTATATACTACTATGGGAAAATTCAGCCAAATATTATGTGTAAAAAGGCAAATAATTTATATTATATATATGTATATGTACATATGTATATATGATGGATGGACATAAATCAGATATCAGTGGTTGTTATTTTTGAATAGGGGAACAAGGGATGTTAATATTTTCTCCCATATATTTTCTATTATTTGCAAAGTTTTTCACTCTACAGAAATAAAACCAATTTTAGAATAATTAGCACACATTTTCTTTTCATTACGGAATCTTGAAAACACACTAGGTTTCTGGAACTACTGTTTAGGATGAATATATATATATACACAGGTAAAAGTAACGAGTTCAACAAGTTAGACAAAATACATTGGAAAACTTTAAAAAGATAAAATGATGTTAGAAATTCATAAGAGTTTGCTTTATAAAAAAGCATGTTATCACAGTTCAAGGAAATCTCTTTCTCTCTCAACTAAATGTATAATTTATTTTAAGGAGAGGCTTAATTTTTATGAGAAAGAAAAAAACTAAAAAGCCTTTAGTTCTTTGCTGTTAGAACAGTACAGTGGGGCCTTGATTTACGAGTTAGAACAGTACAGTGGGGCCTTGACTTACGAGTTTAATTCGTTCCGAAGCCTAGCTCATTAAGGAGCTCGTTAACTCAAATTACTCTATCAACTCAATGCAAAAAATCGGCCGAGAGACAGCTGGTATCTCAATAAACTCGTTAGTCAGGACACTCATAAGTCAAGGCCCCACTGTATAGTCAAACCTGAGTTATGCTTCTGAGGATATGGCTTTATGAGAGCAATTCCACAAGCCTGTGGTGAGAATCGTCCTGATGAGAATCACCTGGGCTTGGCCTGGACTCTCAGGCCTCTCTGTTCCTGATGTAGTCAGATGTTTAGACTAGTTTATTTGATCCTTTACATCACCATTATTCAAACAATTACACTGGTAGTTGAAGTACACATTGTGTATCACATCAATATATATACATATATATGTATATATTTTTTTCAGAGTGTAGAAATATTTTGGTTGGAAAAGAAATGCAGGGAAATCAAGACATACCAATATTTTAAAGAAGAGAAACTGAGGATTTATTTGAAAAAAAAAAACAGGATATGCCTAAGATTTCCACCTACTATTTTTAATTATGCTTTGCTCAAGAATAGAAGTTTCTTTTAGGATCACAAGGCATGAGACTTATTACTAAGAATAGATCATACGTAGCAGCACTTGGCAATAAGAATGTCTCATTATATTGCATAAAATTAATTAGACGCAGTATTTTTCTGGTTCAGAAAATTGACTAGAGCAAATGTATAAATTAAAAAATCAAAAACATACCAGATACAGCAAGGAAGTCATCAATGCTTGTAATGTCATCCACAGCTTCTGTGAGGACATGGATATGATTCTCCCATGTGCTCTTGTACATTTCCATGGTTTTTTTGACCACTTGACTTTTGGGTCTTGCAGCCAAAGCAAGTGCAGCATTAATAACCTGTAAAGATGTGGAATGTTCACATAGTGATTTCTTTGGGAACAGTTATTCTTAAGAGGATAGGTACATTCAATTTTAGCAACAGGAAAAATGGTAAAATGTCCTCACAGGTAACTCCCTTTTTGCTTTTGATAATAATTTTCTTTTCTTTTGACAATAATTTAACTACTTTTGGAACTATTTATTACCTGCCAGTGCATTAAGAACTTCAAGAGATACAAAGATAATTGATATCTGCCTTTAAGGAATTTGTATATTCCTCAACGGGAAGGGCAACATATAATTATAACTCAATTCAGTGTGTTGTACATGTCATGAGTACAAATAATGGTTTTATAGTCTTTAGAGAACAGAGAGTTCACCTTCAGCAGAAAGAGTAAGAGCTCTGACTTCCTTGAGGACTTGTTGAATTTTCACAGGAGATAGTCATTATTTATTCATTTGTTCATTCATGTGTCAGTCAATATTTCAAATACATTTTGAGTGTCTTTTATGTATCCAGCACTGTTTCAAGTTTTAGGGATATGGTAATGAACAAGGTACAGGCAAAAATCATTGTCTTGATGAACTTTATATTACAGTCAATTATCAAGTTGAACAAATGAAATAGATGGTCTGTTAGATGGCTATAAGAACTAAATAAAAAACAGAGCAGAGAGAGGGATAAGGAGTAGAGTGGTGGTGAAGGTAAGAAGTTTGCAATTTTAGCAAAATTGAAATGGAAATTTAAGTAAAACCACTGGTGAGAAGGAATGCTGGGACAGGGAAGTGGCAAGATTCAAAAGGTTAGAAAACAGGGGACATGCTGTGATATTGGGAAGCAGTCCCTCCTAAAGCCTGTAGGAGTCCCTGACTGTCTACTCCAGACTGTGGTCTTATTTGAAAGGCACTGGAGGGTCATGTGGACTTTCTAGCACTTTACTCAGAATTACACTTTAGAAAAATTAATTTGGCATAGAAGGCTACAGCAGTAGGTGATAGAAGTAGGTTAAAAAAAGACGGCACTGCAATGGTGGAGGCAATCAAAAGGCGTTGATGGGACTTTCAGTTAAGTAAAGGAGGATGAGAGCAGGTTAATTATTGCCAAAAATATCACGCAGGTGTTAATTATTTTGTGTGTGTAACTGATTTTTTCAGATTTTCTATAGTGGATATGTTTTAGCTGTATACTCAGAATAAATGAAGTTATTCTTCAAAGAGAGATGATTACTAAGGCCTCTCCATGACTAATGGGGAGGCAGGAGAGTTTTTGTTTGTTTGTTTGTTTGTTTGTTTTTGTCAGTAAGGGGAGTAGAGCCAGATGTGTGCAATTGTTTTGGAGGATAGCGTTGCTGAGGGGTACTAGATGTCAACTTTCCAACACAGATGTTGACTTTGAAATGACTCTTGGCTCTCCATACAAATTACATAGAGAGCAAACAGAGAACTGAAATTGGAGCTCATAAAAACGTTGTCTCTGCACGGGATACTAATGACATCACAATGAAGATGATGCCACCATAGTTTCTAAAACAGGCCACAATCTAGTAGAACAATCAAGAGGGTATGTCAACTTTCCAACACAGATGTTGACTTTGAAATGACTCTTGGCTCTCCATACAAATTACATAGAGAGCAAACAGAGAACTGAAATTGGAGCTCATAAAAACGTTGTCTCTGCACGGGATACTAATGACATCACAATGAAGATGATGCCACCATAGTTTCTAAAACAGGCCACAATCTAGTAGAACAATCAAGGGGGAAACAGGCAAATGCAACATCCCAGTGGTTCTTATAAAGCTGGCCTGGATCCGAATCACCTGGAGAGGTTGTGAAAACACCGCATAAATGAAGCCACACCCTAGTTTCTAACTCAGTCCAGTCACCTTGCGGCTTGATAATTTGCACTTGTAGCAAGTTCCCAGATGATAGTGATGCCACTGGTGGGCCTCCTGCACTGAAACCCACTGCAGCATATAATACATGCTATAACATAAGGGCTATTGTAAAAGGGAGCACAGGATGCCCTATAATACACGGGAGAGGTACCCAGCTCCGTAAGGAAAGATGCCCCAATGTACTGAAATTTGAAAAATAAGTAGACATTAGTATAAGGTGATATCCTTTTGGGAAGGAACAATAACACATGAAATGACCCAGAAATGGGATATAGAATAACCTCACCTGTTGGGAAATGTTTAGCAGAAAGGCCATAGTATTAGAGTTGGAAGAAAATCAAAGGATACAATGGGCAGAGGGAGGAGAAAAACACCTTTGCAAAGTATCCACAAAGTGGAAGTGATAGAGATGAGAAAAAGAACCATCACGAAGGAGGTAGAAAACTGAGATATTAAAGATCAATATGAGAAAGAAGTTTTTCAAAAGGTCAAATGTAGCAGAATCCAGAATAATGAGAACTAAAAATTGCTTTTGAAATTGGAAAACAGGCCTCATTAGTGTAGCAGAATGTTGGACACAGGATTCAAATTTCACCACCATAACATGGAAACAATAAAAATAATCTTTTTCTAGTAAGTAACCTAAAGGCTGAACTTTACTTAAATGACTTCCAACAAATTATTGGGGGTAGAGGAAGGGAAACATTTGTGGCTTGAAAATATTATGTTGATATTCTCTTATTTCATTTTCATGAAAGAGCACATGAAATTCTAAGAAAGCACACACTACTCTGAGGAATAACTACTGTACAGTATTCCTTGACTTCAGTTTTAGAGTCTTATTAACCCATTAGCTTACAGTGTAGGCTTGTGTATATTGCAAGGCTCTGGTCTCTGGTATTTAATTTTTCTTGCAATTAGACAACTGTGCACACATGTGACTGTGTTGAAATTCACAGGGAGGCAAACTTTTAAACTGGTCCTGTTGCAGAACCCTCAGTGGGGACAAGGCCACATGAATATAAGACAGGCTATATTTTTAAAGGACATTTGCAGTTCTGTTACTGATTCAGCTTATCTGATTCAACATTGTACACTATGATAAAACTCTATCCTACTTGGTTCTCCTGATATTTAGCTTGAATCTAAAAGCAGACAAAATTCCGAAGATATGCTAGCCCTGTTTAAGGGAGAAGAAAATCTTCATCCCAATACCACACTCCTGAAATTTTTTCTATATATCTCAAGGGAGGAAAAAAAAAGATCATTCCTCAATCCTCCTCAGGCTAAACAGGACTGACATGAGTTGTATTGCTTTCTGAGGCATTTTTATTTACATTACCAGAGGCCTGGTGCACGAATTCGTGCACGGATGGGGTCCAGCCGGCCCGTCCTGATCAGGGTCAATTGGGCCAGCCAGGGTGAGGGGACGTGGGAGGTTAGCCAGCCGGCCCCACCCCTGATCAGGGTAGGGGGGCGCCTATGGGGGATCAGGCTGGCCTGGGGGAGGGGCCTCGGGAGGTTGGTGGGCCAATCCCGCCCCCGATCAGGGTGTGGGGGAGCCAATCGGGAATGTGAGTGTTTGGGGGGAGGGGCCGTCCCTGCCCCCTGGTCAAATTCCCAGTTGAACTCCTGGTGGAGGGGACAATTTGCATATTAGGTATTTATTATATAAGATGGTTGAGATGCGTACATGACCCTGTGAATCAACTGGTCAGTCATTTCGCCTTGAAACAGTGTTTTTATACTTCATAATTTTATTACATCTTAACTAGACTATTTTAATAGTCTTTTAAATAGTTTCCTTTTAAATAGTTTCCTAGCTCTAGTCCCTACAGAAAAGGCTTTATTTATTTATTTATTTACTTACTTACTTACTTACTTACTTACTTTTTAAGTAACTATCAGTCAGGCAAGTAAGGAGAGCAAAGGATTTGAGCAAGATTATAGCAGCAGGACCTGGAACCCAAGGATCTGCTAAGACCTCTACTGGGTTCCTTCCTCTTTGTGTCTGGCTTCTGCTCTCCCAACTTTTCCTGCCCGTGCTCACTGATAAAGGCTGTGTTTGCTGCTGCTTCTCTCTCCAACTGGTCTCCATTTCTCCTTCCTCACAGAGGCCTGTTCAAACTAGCTCCTGTCAGCCTTGGTGCCTGGGGACATTAGGCCCCCTGGTGGAAGCCTGCCTAGTTTCAGCAGGTCCCATTCTACCTCCTTCAGGCTTCCTACGCTTTCTACTGGGACATGGGACGAAGGCCTCAGCATACTTTAGGCTAAGCTCCCTCCCATTAAAAAAATTATTTTTCAGTTACAGTTTGCATTCAATATCATTTTGAGTTGTTATATTAAATCAGAATATTTTTATTACATCATGCTTTCACTTGCTGAGGGAAACTCTCAAACATCCAAACTTGATTCAGAATATATAGGATTTTTAGTCTGTCTCACTAGACTTTGTAAAACGTTGGTATTTGTCAACATTTAAAAATTAGTAACTAGTTATCATTTATTTTTGCATTCTAAATACTCACTATTATTTTTTAAAGAAAGGCCCTCAAAATTGTATGAACTTTAGGCACCACATAGCCTGGTTTGCCACAGTCAAACCATGTATTTTTCATAAAAAGCTACCTATTGTCTGAAATGATAAAATGAACATGGATTCCACTGCAATATTTTATCTAAACTTGGTCTTGATAACAAGGCTTTGACTTTGCTTCCTTAGAGAAAATAGCACTACCAGATAAAGAAGTCTTTTTAAACATTCTATACTACTTCATCCTTTTTGAAGACAAGCTACTCCTTCCATCCTTCCTTTTGTGTGA